GAAGGACCGTACCGCCGTAGTACCGCCATTGTGGAGGGGGTTGTTTTTCCTGGGTGGGCGCGCCGTCCAAACAGCGTTTCCCTCTTAGGTGCCATTACTGCATAGCGGGATTACAGAGAAACCCTGTTAAGGTCGTATTGATGCCGCTTCCCATTAAAGCTTTTAACTTGCCCCACCGACAGAACAAATGGATAAAAAACGTCTCTATCATGACCCTGACTAGGCAGATTATTCCCCCCAAACCCGGAAGGGGGGGGGGGGGTAGTTCTTTTTTTTTAACTCTTTAAAGACCAAAGTCGTGGTTATGTAAGAAACGAATTCTAGCACTGAACCTCAAAGAGTTAACAGAAGTAATAGCCGTGTTTAACGGAAAAGAACGAGCGCCCCTTTAACGCCCTTTAGGATTTTTCTGCTCTATAACCTTACATTTTATCTCATTTTTTTTTTCGTGAGCGCTACTCGGCCGTGCGCTCGAACCGTATAGCAAGGCGATCCCGCCTCGTGTTGTCTCGCGCCAAACAGCTCACCCAAACGCCGCACGGGAAAAGTGCCACTCACTCGCGTCACGGCAAACCCCGACCATTCTGGTATTATTACCAATACCATTAGCGGCGCAGTGGTGTCCCCTGTTTTATATATAACATTTTTTCCCCCTTCTTCTCTCCCCTTTTTTCCCCCCTCGTCTTCCCCTCCTCGCTGTTTAATTCATTCACTTAGAAGGACCCGGCCGGTGATGTTCCGTTCATCCTCCCATTTCGCCATGCGCGATGGCTCTAGACAGATGAGATTCGCCCGATACTAATTTATCACTTACTTGAGAAGGCACGTTTTACCTCGACGAGCGCTCGGAAATTGGCTTGTATATACCCAGTGTGCTGTGTAACTCATCCCGCGCGCTTGTTTTCTCGTGGTGATCTGATTCGAGGACTACCGAGGGTGGAGAATTTTAAAATGTGCTAGGGTGTCGGAATAAAAAAAAAATTTATTTCACTGGAATCGTGACTAGTGTTTTTGTTTTATTAAACAGTGTGATATCCATATAATACGTGGTAAGCTTATTAAAACTGAAACTATGTAATACGTACTTAGGTTCTTTTTTTTTTTACTTTTTATGTATTGTACAGCGTTATATAGAATCAGATACAGATTACCTTAACCACAATACCTATACTAGCACTATAATAAAAAATTTAGTGTGTTTATTTTAATTGATTGCTTAAATCAACGTATTAGGCCTACATGTGTACATACAATTTCTCATGATAAATGTGAGTGTGTATTTTGTTTACGTCGAACGCGCTCGGTTTAATTGCACTGAAGATCATCAAAGGCGAGGGGTCAGCAATAGAAGTCATAAAGTTGAAGTGCGTGGATAAAAATAGACTGGGCGATTACGTCCTTCGGTGTGCGTGCCTACGTCACTGCTGATCTCCAGATCTCGCTCTCAGCGTTGAGGAATATGGTGACCTCTTGTGACCTGTATTTCCCACAGGTTGTCTCATTCAAATTGTCTCCCCTGCCTTATTAGTTAGAAGTAGTTTCCCTTGAACACTACGTAATGGGGGGAGATCAGTGCTGATAAGGTTTATTTACAAGGTTTAGAAGATATGGGTTAAAACATTCTTACCGTAGGCTGAAATCTTGGCTGTGATTTAGTACTAATTAGTACTAATTACCTTCGAGTCAGTTGGTGTCAAAATTCGAGGTTACGTTTGTGTAGGCCTGACAGTAAAGGTAGAAATATAAAGTTTAAAAAAAAAATCTCATCAAATTTATCCGTCTCATTTAAAGAGAAAAAAAAACTGACTGATTTGTTTTCAAATCTACGTGAAATTATAATCTTGTTTTTATTTTAAAGAAAAGAAAATATGAAAATACGTTTTTTTTAAAAAAAAAAAAAAGATTAAGGTTATCGTGAAAGAAATAAAGTAAATATTGCTATTTTTAAAAAACGTAAACATGCCGTGTTTATATTTAAACGTTGATACCGGGCCTGCAGTAAATGTCTAAGATTTTTGGTGATACGAAAACGATGTACATGTAGCATAGAAGACGTGAACCTCGTTAGAGTTAGAGTTCTAGTTATGGTAACTTGTTCTAAAAGTTAACTTATATTCTATAGATAGCTAACAGAAGTTCTAGTTATGGTAACTTTCTAAAAGTTTACTTATGTTCTGTACATAACTAACAAAAGTTCTAGTTATGGTAACTTGTTCTAAAGTTAACTTATGTTCTGTAGACAACTTAGAAAAGTTCTAGTTCGATCTGGTAAAATGTTCTAGAAGTAAAATTTTGTTCTATCGATAACTAACAAATACAATTAGGTCACGTAGAGAGAAAAAGCCTTTGCTATAAATGATCGGGGACTGAGGATTGGTACACTCCCACCAACGTTACAGAGGATATAAGGGCAACGTGATTAAACACGAATCGGATAGAGTGAGGGGGGGGGAGGGTCCACCACCCCTCCCCACCCTCATACTCTTTCCGTCGTCCCCTCAATCCCAGAGGGGAGACTTTGTTAACTCACCCACTGATAGCTTTTCCTGCGCGCGCTGGCCTTTTGGAATAACGTGGGGGGAGGGGGAGAGGCGCGGAAGGGTGGGGGTGGGGGGACGGGACGACGTGTTTTCTTTCTCATTACTCTTGAAAATCGTGATGGTCGCACGCACGCTTCCAGCTCTGGGCGGGCCGATGGGAGTCTGGTTCTCGCGGTACCCTGGGACAGCTGTTTTGGTGTCGCTTCTTCAATTGGAATCTCTGTGCTAATTAGTTAGGAACTCGGCGTCGGGCTCGTTGCTTGTTGTGTAGATGCTGGACGTGCTCGTGGTTAGTTGCATCCACTGTGTGTGTGCTTGCTACATGCGTTGTTCGGTGCTTCTTTTACGATGTGCTCAACGCCATTATAACTAGATTTATTAACCGTTGATGTAGTTATATAAAATAGGAAATGTTATCTTTTTAAAGTCATATAGAGATATAGATATACATTATGATAAAGTTATATTAAATAGAATGTGTTATCTTTTTAAAGTCATATAGAGATATAGATATACATTATGATAAAGTTATATTAAAGAGAATGTGTTATCTTTTTAAAGTCATATAGAGATCTAGATATAGTTATATTAAATAGGAAATATTATCTTTTTAAAGTCATATAGAGATCTATATATAGTTATATTAAATAGGAAATGCTTTTTAAAGTCACATAGTTATAGGTATATTAAATAGGAAGTGTTATCTTTTTAAAGTCATATAGTTATACTTATAGTTATATTAAATAGGAAATGTTGATTGTACTTGATCAATTTTTTTAAACTGGATCATACATATATTTCTAGTTTCTAATATTAGTATATTAGTTTTTAAATATATTCTTTACATAGATAAGTGAACATTGGTTGTTTATTTTATAGTATATAGATAAATAGATATATGTTGAGTTAAATGATTATCAACACCTCCTATCGTTACATTACTTGCGTTGTTTAATATATAGAATATAGTTGTAGGGATTAGTTTTTAGTAAAGGATATCTTCCTTTTTTTACAACTATAAGTGAAATTCGCACTGTTTCTTATCGTTTTGTTTTGTTACATGACTTGTTACAATATTATTAGCAATACTCAACACGAATGTGAACCTAAACCGAAAACTTAACCCTCTGCTAGTTGTGTGTCGGGATTTCATCAGTGTCCTACCATTTTACTAAAACAAAATCACAATTTAAGTATTGGATTATTCACATTGTATTCAACTTGTTCAAAGCGTGAGTAGTCAAGGAGTTCTATAACTGGATACAGGTCGTTCCGCTTATTCACGGTTGAAACTGGTAAGTAGATATTATCCTGTGTATTCGTTGGCGTCAAAGCGTTTTAATTTGTTTTTTAAAAAAATAATTAGAATGTTATGTGTTTTCGATATTAACATAGGCATAAAGTTAATAAGTCAATTTGTTAAAATGTTTTAAGTATAAAACCCAAACATAGGATAGTTGGAGTTGTTTACATAAAATTTTGTTAAGTAATAAAGGGAAGAAAAAAATGTTCAACTTGAGTTAACGCCCCTGGCGAGACAAATACACATTATTTCCAACTGCCCATGGCTCGACAAATACCCACATTATTTCCAACTGCCCTTGGCTCGACAAATACCCACATTATTTCCAACTGCCCTCTCCACATAGAGTGACCACTGAGGTGGGTCGTATAAAACAGATCTCTTTGTTATTTCCCTCGCTACGGAGAATACCGCGTAATAATTTAACTCGTCAATTACAGTAGGCTGTTGCTCGTAATTTTTAAACTCCACTAATTTCAAGTAAAATTATACCACAAAAAAACAGGATTTTTTTCCCTACACATTGATACCAATTTTGTGTCTCTAGCTTAATTAGGAGCTAAGATATGGCCTTTTAAAAATTTGTGGGCGTGGCTAAAACAGCTTAGACCTTCGTCATTCAAGTCAATGTTACATAAGCAAAAAAGTTGGCACCGATGGTGTTTTCATTGCATCATCACGGATTCGCATTTTTCGAAAAATTAAAAAATTATAATCAAGCTTAAAGTCTAAGTTATTATACTGGACTGGATGTGATTTGAATGAGTAATTTAATGCCATTCATATATTATTATTGACTTATTACTCCGTGTAAAAAATAATAATGTAGATCTAGGTTTAAACTAAACTAGATCTAGTTATTGCAAATCGATTTATTATTATTTAATACTGTTACTACTATTATTGTATAATAGAAATGCATAAGCACATATTACTGCACACGTTCTTTATATGTAATTGTAATGAACGATATTACTTGGGTAGATGAAGTAGAGTAGAGTACATACATACACACACTTCATGATAAATGGAAGTAGCAATTAGTTGCCTTTACTTTCTCTCTCAGCCCCCCCCCCCCACTTACTTGATATTCCGTGTCTATATTAGGAGGCCATAATAAAATTATAGAACAAAATAAAAAGAAAACAGCTGTCAAAGTGTGTACCAGTGTTTATTACTACTAAACTATGCAATGTAAATTATTAGAATGTGAGAAACACAGTATTAAAATACAGTAATCAGATTACCACATGAATTTTAATTTTGTCTAATAAGATAGAAACATTTAGGAGAATGGCAAAGTAAAAAAAAAGATTTTTTGCACTAATTTAAAAATATGTTTATCAGAGCAAAGAAATAAACTACATAGTGACAACCTCAATTTAGCCCTTGTATAATCTACGACCAACACAGTACTGTAAAAAAGTTACATAATCATAATTAGTGTGAAGAAACAAATCTACAGTACAAGAAATCAGCCTCGTCTCATTAAGATCTCTTAAGAAGAAAAGTAGTATTAATTATCAAGGAATAAACATTAAAATATTGGTTTAAAGTATAATTACTAGTAAATCTAACCATTCATTGAATTATGCTGGAAAAAAAATAGGTGTCGAAAAACTTCTTGGACCACTTTAGTCTCTTAGTGTTAAAACAATTTTCTTAAGTATCAATTATAATTAATCTTTAGATACAATTAGCACATCTGAGGAAAAAAATATATTTTAAAAAGCGTTAGTACTTGTGTGATAAATTAGTTTGGACCAACATTTTTGAAGCACATTAACTACTGATTCTAGGATTATCTAGCTGATTTCAATTACCATGAAAAATAAGTTAAGTAATTAATTAAAATGTAATTTTTTTTTACACTATGAAAACTAAACTTAATTATAAACATTGTTAGTATTAGTTTTCAAAATAAGTTTACAATTCACAGCAATCATTTTTTCAGTAAGAATTTACAAAAACACTAATGTTTAAAAAATAAAGTTCATTTTTATACTAAAAATGGAAGAAGTACTCTGAAATTCTGATTAGCTATTATTCAGAAAGAAAAACAAGATTCCTACAAAGTTAACAACCAGTGATTCTGCCAGATGACTGAAATCCTCAGCATTATCCTCATCCTCTGCCCAGTAGCTTATGGTGTAAAGAGCAGACTTTTATTTTGTTGCTGGCACCCTTTTAATAGTCCTTCCACTGTATTGCGACACACCCTGATCACCTTGCTCCCACTTATGAGTCAGCTGAACACCAATCAGATTTCCCATCAGATACCTCTCCAGCTGTCGCACCAAGAAAGGTTCAGTAGAAGTCAACAACGCTTCCATGACTTTAAGAAACAGAGTACATTTGATCGCCACATTGCATTCTTGTAACTGAGCTTTATTGAAGGACCAGAAATTAACTTCCCAATCAGCCTGAGTGCTTGCAGCGCTGCACGAGAACCCCAGGCTTCTTGAGATCTGCAAGCAGTTGAATGTAGATTTTAGTTATGTCCCAGCAGCCACATCATTCTCCATGAAAACTACCTGAAAAGAGAAGGGCAAATGGAATTAGAATTTAGCAGACCATTTCACAAAATATATATCTAGCACAACATATTGCAAAGTAAATAAAATAAATATAAAAATTAAAAATAAATTCAGTCTCCATACTTACTAAATGTACTTCCACCTGAGACATTGGTTGAACATAGAAAGGGCTGTACACAAGTTCCACCAACCTATTCCAGTCACAAGCCTCTGTTCTCCTCAGCCGCTTTATCTCAGCCATCAAGTTTCTGATTGCATTAGCAATCCTCTTTACACATTGTTGGTCTTGCCTATAAGTAAATAAGATGTACAAAGAAAACAAATTAACCCAAGTTGTAGGCACACAAGTCTAGAAATAAATTAATATTAATAAAATTATCAAGTACTATAATTGTCCTTAATAAAGAGGTCTAAGGGCATAGGGCTTTATAAAATTATATTATTATATAGGCCTAGTTATTAAGTTATAGATATATACATAGGCCTAGGCCCTATATTAATTTAAATATATAGGCCTACTTGATGGAGAATTATACCTGATACCTGAACTAGTCTAAATCTATTCTTAACCATTTAACAATGTCTCACTATTTTTACAAGTTCTAGATCTAGACTAGTACTTGTATGAAATAGAATCTAAGAATAGTTTCGGCAAAAATAAAAACATTGCTGTAACTGAAAACGTGTAAAAATATAACTAAAAAATTAATGTAGAGTCCTAATCAAACATAATGATTAAATGATTATGTTCATCTACTAAATGTACTGCATTAAAATAAATAGGCTAATTAGTAATTACTGAAATGGTATAGGCCTAGGCCTACTTACTTAACTTAGTACTTAATGCATAATTAGATGAACACTTAGGCCCTATAAATTAATTTAACTTATCTAGATTCTAGAATCTAGATCTAAATTAGTGTTGGCCCTATTAGATTAAATTAGATCTAGATTTCTAGATCTAGAATTAAACTAGATCTAGGCCTAACTAAAGCTAGATTATTTTTTACTTTTTACTAGATCTAAATCTAGTCTGATCTAGATCTAGTTACTATAGATCAATAGAGTTAGATCTAGATCTAGATTCTAGTAATCTGGATTCGTTTTTCTAAATCCAGAATTTATTAGGCTATCTAGAATTCTAGATCCAGGTCTACTTCACTACTTGTGTAAAAATCTTAAAATTAAATTAATGTAGAGTCTAGATCTAGGCCTAATTGTCCTAATCAACCGTAATAATTTGGTAAATGTAGGCTACTTAATCTAAATTCTAAATTATTAATATTAGTAGGCTAATACTAATATCATAGATATCAAGTAATGCGATATTTTAATAACGTAAGAATCACAGGAAATTTGGCGCGAAATTAAGGCTCTCTCGCGGCCAGCCTTCCTAGGCTTGCGGACCATTGAAATCGTAATTTTAAAATATAGGTTAATTTTACAATACCCAATTATTACTATTTTCAACATTTAGGCATCTATTTCTAAATATTAAGTACTTTATTATTTATAGACTCTTACCTTATATTTCAGCACATTGCTCCTCTGTAAGATAATAAACGAGATCCAAAAATTAAAATAGGCTTTGAATCTAAATCCTCTTGAGGTTTAAACAAAGATGCGCACTGTGTCATGCGTAGATCAGGTGTGCTGTGGTAGAGCCTTAAGCGACACGGCCTTAATTAGCAATGGTCAACCGGAAACATGGAATTTAGGTTCAAGGTACAGCCATGATTACCATGGCAACAAAGGTCACGGCGCAAGCTGCGCAACTCGCTAATTACAGGGAGGTAATCGTGGTTTGAGTCCACAGCGGTGGTTTCTCTTGCATCCAGTCCATGGCTGTGTCGTGCGACCGTTTGACCCGGTCATCCGTCTATCTGCTGCTGAGTTTAGTTTCAGTTCAAGGCGAGTGGGGGATAAGGGAGGTCATGTTATTTTTTTTATTCTGTACGTATTCATTGCGCTTAAACTATAGTTAAAGTTGATTTATTGTCAAATTACGTGCAAATTCAAAACGGAAAAAAACAGTTTGTAAATAGCCGCCCGTGTCCAGATTTAAAAAATTTAAAACTCTATTCTCTCCCCTAACATTAATTCCCCTTAATTTCGTCTTGGTCGTAGAAGATACGGTAAGGTTTTACCCCCCCCCCCCCCAATTATCCAAACTAGGATTGTATCCCTCCATCCATTTTCCACACCAGTGCTTTACCCCCCCCCTCTTTTTTTTTCCTTATTATTTTTTTAACCCCACCCCTATCCTCATTTTTCAAACGTAGGGCTTTTCCCCCTCACCCTAATGCACACCATGCCTTAGCACTCACATTAAATTATACGGTTTATTTTCACGTATCTTTACCGGAAATCTTTGATTCTCCCCCCCCCCCCTTTCCTCCTACCCACCGCCCCACCCCCCTCTTTCTTTCTTTCTCTCGCGTTTATCGAGTGTCGCAGAGACAGCGAGAGTTGACGCCCCTGAATAACCGATAACTATCTAAAAAGTGTCTGCGAGTAACGGCTGGAGCTTAAAGGTCCATTTCGAAATTAAGATTCTATCACGGTCCCCGTGCCAGCGGCCTGAGACAACAGACTAGAGGACACACATCATTTGTAGCGTCAAGATGGTGCACCTCCCTGCGCTCGTCTCTCTATCACGGCCCCCGTGCCAGCGGCCTGAGACAACAGACTAGAGGACACACATCATTTGTAGCTTCAAGATGGTGCACCTCCACGTGCTCGTCTCTCTATCACGGTCCCCGTGCCTGAGACAACAGACTAGGGGACACACATCATTTGTAGCGTCAAGATGGTGCACCTCCCTGCGCTCGTCTCTCTATCACGGTCCCCGTGCCTGAGACAACAGACTAGGCGACACACATCATTTGTAGCGTCAAGATGGTGCACCTCCCTGCGCTCGTCTCTCTATCACGGTCCCCGTGCCAGCGGCCTGAGACAACAGACTAGAGGACACACATCATTTGTAGCGTCAAGATGGTGCACCTCCCTGCGCTCGTCTCTCTATCACGGTACTCGTGCCTGAGACAACAGACTAGGGGGACACACATCATTTGTAGCGTCAAGATGGTGCACCTCCCTGCGCTCGTCTCTCTATCACGGTCCCCGTGCCTGAGACAACAGACTAGGCGACACACATCATTTGTAGCGTCAAGATGGTGCACCTCCCTGCGCTCGTCTCTCTATCACGGTCCCCGTGCCAGCGGCCTGAGACAACAGACTAGGGGACACACATCATTTGTAGCGTCAAGATGGTGCACCTCCCTGCGCTAGTCTCTCTATCACGGTCGTACTCTCTCTAGAAAAACTTAAGCAATTGATTAGCATTGTACATCATTGTAATCTACTGATGATATGCGCTCCTTATTGATATATATATATATATATATATATATATATAATCATATATATTATCATATATATTATCATATATATTATCATATATAACATATACACATATATGCTTACACATATATGCTTATATATATGCATATATATATATATATATATATATATATATATATATATATATATATATATATATATATATATATATATACGTATATAGTTTTTATACATACGAATATTAAGTATATACATATATATTTTCACATAAGATTTACAGTTTTTATATTTGTATATATATATATATATATATATATATATATATATATATATATATATATATATATATATATATATATATATATATATATATATATATATATATATATATATATATATATATATATATATATATATATATATAGACAGAGAGAGAGACAGAGACAGAGGGATACATGAACATAATCTATAAATACTTATATTTAGTAATTATACCTATATACTAGGATTTAGTGTTTATTTATAGCCGTCTTACTAGTATACATATACATTTTGTTCAATGCAATAACAGCCTCCAGCTTACTATGAGGCTCAGAGTTAAAATACACATGAAGACCAACAATGTAATCTGGTCACATATATGGTCTCACTCACTATGGCAACAGTGCAGAAGCTTCACCAAATCACCTAAATTATTTTTTTTCTTTTATCAATAGTTTTCTAGTCATGTTTCCTGCTCTCAATACATCCACCCCCTCCACATTACTCTCTAATGATATACAGTACATTCACCCCACCCTCCCTCCCTCCCTCCTAAAGCTTACCTCCATCCTAGTTACTACACATCTTCGATTTCCAATCCCTTAGTCCTCCTACTTTTCAGTCACCCCCTCCCTGAAAAAAAAATCACACACACACACATTTCCTTCTCATTTCTCTCCCCTTGTCGTTTCTATCAATCGCAATTACCTCCCCCTTCCCCGCTCTGACTGTTATTAAGTAACCAGGCGAATCCACTAACCATTTCCTATCAAATTCAGTCCCCTTTACCCCCCCCCCCCCCCACCGGTTCCCCAAGCATCCATTTATCAAGTAATTATTAACCCCCAACATTACTCAATTTTCTACCCACTTCCTCTCTCACAACCACCCCCCCCCCTCCCACTTCCCTCACTCACAATATTTGACTTATTCATATAAGCACGTACCCCAACCCAACGCACTCTCTCTCTCTCTCTCTCTCTCTCACACACACACACACACACGCACTCACATACACATAATCCCACTGATCCCTGGCTCTCTACCCCAATCACTTGCAATATTTGACTTAGTCGTACTCACACACACACACACACACACGCACATCGTGAGTTCCCAAACCCCCACCCCCATCTTCCCCTCCAATCCCTTAACCTTTTCACTTTAAATTATTTTTATAACTATTATTTCACATTCACAGTCAAATACACGTTCAAAAAATAATATTTTAAAAAAGCACTGTATGTGGATTGCTCTCACTATTCTTCCCCTACCACTCCACTCCCCACCCCTAACCCCACATCATCAGTCACACTATAATAAACAATCCAGACAAACACACACACCGACCGTGGGTTCTCATCCGCCACCCCAACACCCCCACCCCCAGTTCACTGCATATCTGTACCCCCACAAACGACTCCCCTGCTATTGACGGTGCCTATCCCCCCCCCCCCAGTTCACTGCATATCTGTACCCCCACAAACGACTCCCCTGCTATTGACGGTGCCTACCCCCACCCCCGGTTCACTGCATATCTGTACCCCCACAAACGACTCCCCTGCTATTGACGGTGCCTACCCCCACCCCCAGTTAACTGCATATCTGTACCCCCACAAACGACTCCCCTGCTATTGACGATGCCTACCCTCACCCCAACACCCCCACCCCCCAGTTAACTGCATATCAGTACCCCCACAAACGACTCCCCTGCTATTGACGGTGCCTACCGTCGGAGCAATGACGCGATAAATAGAATCTCCCTGCCCCTGTTTTTTTTTTGCCTCTAATGAGCCGGGCTGTCTACACGTGATTTGGGCCGCGGGATGGAATTCACTAATTACAAGACATGTTTATCTATCACCGTTGACGTCTCTGCTGGCCTTTAATTAGACTAACATCATCTAGCCCCACCCTAGAGTCTGGCTACCACCCCCTTCCCAAAGTTTTATCATATGACCTATTACTTTTATTATTTTTTTTACATCTGTATATCCGAATTAATTAAATATTATATTAACAAGAAAAAAAATGTTTTACCTCTATTTATTTATTTTTTTTTCAATTGGGAAACTGATAGATGGTTCAGAGGCGGAATTAGAACGTTGGTGGAGATTTGGTGAATTTTTGGTGTTCCCGTGTGTACCATGTGTGGCGCCCCTACCACACCTCACCCAGATCTGCCTTAAAACAAGAGTGGGGTGGTACTTGTTACCCACACAAGACAAACTCCGGGTTGTGCCACACATGGACTGAGTTTTTTTCGGGCGTCTCTAGGGGGGGGGGGGGGCTCTGCCGCACCGAAGAACGTCCGTCGTCGTCGTAGTCCCCCGTTCCCCCCCCCCCCCCCCCCCCCCGCGACGAATTTGAATTTATAAAGAAATTTACTTTTATCAGTTTCTGCCCACCCCTCTAAACTTCAAGTGCCCCCCCCCCTCGGGGGGGAAAAGTCTAAAAGAAACAATGCATATAGACAGAAAAAGAGTTAACGAACGGCGTGGCTGGAAGGTAGAGCTATCCCCTTGAGTCTGTATGTCTTTGAGTCGTCAACCCAGGTAGTTACCTTATACTAGGTCCAAGCAACGACTAATGAAAAATATTAACTAACCTTTACATCTTGAATTATTATGGGACGGTGTGGCCTAGCGGTAGAGAGCTAGACTGTTGACTCGAGAATCTCAAGTTCGAATCCTGGTTCAATTCAGTGGAACGTCCCTGGCTCCACCTAGATCGGATGTGTACCTAACTTACGTTAGGGAAACAAAAGCACCTGAGCCTAGTACTGACCACACTATCCCTTCATATACCGAGGTGTCTGAAGCAGATGAACACTACTTCATCTGCCCGATGTATCTTGTGTACGAAAGGGAAATGATGATGGTGATTGAAACGTTAAATCGTTTCACTGAACTGATCATAATAATGACGTACAGTAAGCTTTACATAGCTTCTTTAATTACTGACTTGAATACATGTGTGTCTACATATCGATGTTTTGTATTAAATATCTTAACTAACCTCCATTATAGATTATTTATTTATTACTAGATTAGCCATGTTTCTAGAATTTAATATTGAAATATCCTTTCTGTGTAATTAATTAAGATAATTTTTAAATTAGTTTATGGAGTTTATTCAATGAAC